TTCTTAAAGCATTACACATGGTGATTTTAGCAAGGTACATTCTTATAGCATTACACTAGGTAATTTTAACAAGGTACATTCTTATAGCATTACACTAAGTACTTTCCACTAGGTACATTGATATAGCGAAACACTGGGTACATGTTTGTAGCAAATCACTAGTGACATTCTGAAAGAATTACGCTAGGAACATTCTTATAGCATTACACTAGGTATATTTTTAAAAGCAAGACACTTAGAACATTCTTATGGCTTAACACAAGGTACATTTTTATAGCATTACACTAGGAACTGTTAACAAGGTACATTCTTACAGCATTACACTAGGTACTTTCCAATAGGTAGTTTTTATAGCAAGACACTATGTACATTCTTATAGCATTACACTAGGCACATTCTTATAGCATTTCACTAGATACATTTTTAAAACAAGACCCTAGATACATTTTTATAGCGTTACACTAGGAACATTTTTATAGCAAGATGACACAATGAGCATTCTGATAGCACTTTACTATATAAAGTCTTATACCATTTCATTATATACATTTCAATAGCTTCTAACTAGGTACATTCTAATAGCAAGACACTAAATACATTCTTACAGAATTTCACTAGGTATATTCTGATAGCATTTCACTAGAAACATTCTTTAAACATTACAATAGGTATATTCTTATAGTGTTTCACTCGGTACATTATTATAGCAAGAAACTTGATACTTTCTTATAGCCAGACTTTAGGTACTTTCTTATTGCATTACACTAGGGGCATTCTTATAGCATTACATTAGGTACATTCTTTTAGCAAGACTCTATGTACTTTCTTATAACATTACACTAGGTACAGTCTAATAAAAGTACAGTAACTACATTGTTATAGCAGAACACCAGGTACAGTCTTACAGCAGAACACCAAGTACATTTTCATAGCAAAGCACTAGGTAAATACTATAACATGACACTAGGTATATTGTTGTAACTTTTTATAGCATTAAGCATATTCCTATACCATTACAGCAAATACAGTTTTATAGCATTTCACTAAGAACAACATTAAAGGATTGCTTATGGTAGGTGTACACTAAAAAAAATAGCATGATCAAAGATTGTTTTTCGTGAATTGAACTCATTGATAGAATGTTCTATTTTGCGAAATGGTAAAATTCAACTAAAGAGTGTTTTAATTATGTGCGATAGTGCAAATACTAATGTTTGTAGAATGCCATGTTTGTTTTAAAATAAAACTTTAAATGATCCTTGAGGGGTCCATAAGTCGTCCAGTTCAAATCAAATTTTCAATTATTACCCAACATAATCACCCTTTTCTTTGTAGCTGCCCAAGTTACTAATTATTTGACAGACCATCGGTTTAATCGTTTTTCTCCACGAATCGTAATAAAATATGCACCACTCAACGTTATAACAACCAAATATTCAAATTTGAATAAAGGGATGTGGCTTCAGTTACTCCCAAAGAAAATAGATTAACAATTTTTTTAAACAATCTAAAACATTTAAAAAATAGAAAAATAAATAAACATATAAAATAGATAATAAATGACTCATATCTTTATTGATTCTATTGAACTTTTGTGTTAAAACAAACAAATAACATTAAGAGAAATAACTAGAAATTTACCTTATTTTCGTTTCAGTTTTTTAAGACGCATATATGAAATCAGTTCAGACTTAATTTCATAACAGTTCCTTGGATCATTCGAGATAATTTCAAATCAAGAGGGAAAGGGATATAGAGAGGATCGTAGAAGAGTATGAATATATATTAAAAGAAGGCTGCAGAGGAGGAATATCTAATGAACAGGTATAAATGGCCCTGCAAAGCAATTTTCCATCTTCCTTTTATAGCCTGATATATGACTAGGTCTCTTTATATAAACAAACCAATTAATTTTAAGAGGTAATATTCTAATTTATCAGTCTGTTTTTATTGGTAATTATTGTTCTATTTCTTTTTCACCTGAACTGAATAATTGATTTATTGATTGTTTTTTTGCTTAAGGTCCTGTGATAAAACATTTGGACTGCCACTGGAAAATGAGGGTACATTGGATAGTGACAGTAATTCAGCCTTGCAACAGGCCATATACGGACCCTATAAAGAGTTGTTGCAAAGGCTTTTAACGTGCAGATAGTGTGGTATTCTCTCTAGACGAGCCATCAAATTTATACATCCCGCGGAATCAAACGAACTCCCGCATTGTCAAGGATTTAACTGCGGTCGGAAGCTCTGCTGCCTGATATTTACAATAACTGATGTGATATCTTAACATAGAAAAGCAAAGTGATCCCTATGTAATTAACGATTACCAAAATCTGTACTGTAAATGAACAGTGATGTACTGGCAACTTTAATGTATTCAAGTAACTTACAAATCGAAAAGGATCTGCTTCATGGTCGACAGGTAAATATTGACTGCTTCTGGAAAATGAGTTTATGTTGCATAGATACAGAAAGTTTACTTTGCAACAAGTCCTCAAAGAGTTGTTGCATGAATTATTTAACGTACAAAGATCGCGTGGCATCCATCTTCACGAGGCATCGAATTTAACATTCCCACTCTGACCTAAGGTGGTTGCTTATCTATACATATCGCATAGCCAAGCGGACGCCCATCTTTTGTATTGGTTTTACTACGAGATTCGATAAGTCCAGATGGCCACATTTATATCAAGGTTTTTCCTCGCGTTACAATAAATAGAATGAATAATACTAGAAGAATGAATCAAAGAAATGTTGATAACATTATGATACTTGAGATGCCATTTATGTTTTATACCGCACAAAGAGTCCGAGTTTTTCTTTCCTCGTATTGGCATCAATACATTAAAGACAAAAACTTAAAAATGGCCATGTTTTGATGATTTTGGATTGAAAAAGAATCAATCATCAGTTAGCGTCATTGTTAGGATAAAGAAATTCAAAAGCGCAAATCTCATATATGGTGATTCATACGTATTAACAGCTACGAGAAGTGGAGGTGTGGGGTACATTTGTCAATGACACATTAAGTAAATGACATAAATAACCAACGTGTTGCTTAGTCTTTAGTTGTGTTTTGTGTACTGTTGTTTGTCTGTTTCTTTTTTCTAGCCATGGAGTTGTCAGTTTATTTTCAACTTATTTGGTATCTTTCGCCTCTCTTATAAATGTAGATGTCATAGACATAGACACAGAAAACTTTATTTTGATTCGGCTTATCATAAAACATACAAACATAAGCTCTTATGAACTTTTTAACGAATATAAAAACGTATTCAAAACAAATAAATCAAAATCACCAGCATAGTCATCGACAACAGACTGATGTCCATACAATATTTCAAGTTCTATAAAGACGTCCCCGAGTCTATAAAGAATTGTCAATAAATTTAACAGAAACAATTGAAAATGTAGATTTTTACAGATTGTTGGTTTTCTATACTAACAAAGGTGTTTTTATTATTATAGTCAGTCCAAAAGATTGTATCAAACCGTTGCAAGTAGGTCCGTTTATCGGAAAGGGTCCTATATAATACAATATAATGTAGCGTGGACCTCACGTTTTGGAAAAATGTAAGAAGAAACCAAATACAGGGAGCACAAGTTCAAGGTGAAATAAAGTGTAAAGAGAGAATAAGGTCTGACATTCTAAAAGGTCATAGCTTGATGCCTAAGATCAGCTTATAAAAACAGTTTCGTAAGAAAACCGACACAAATAACATAATCAGCTACAATAGCTTTCGTAAGGAAATATGTTTTAACTTACCTACACTATCGTATTGTTTTGATCCGCTTTACCTTTCAGATCTTGGTTAACTGCATGTCGGAGATTGACCATTTAAAACAATGTTTGCTCTATTGTTAAGGGCCTTTTGTGTGTAGCTTTTTCCATACTTAAGGTGTTCTATAAACATATTGTGTAAGCTATATTCCTTTGGAGGCCAGTTTCTCTTGAATTTATGATTTCTCTACTCTCTATATTTGTCCTGAGTATGAATCATGTATTTGCCACGGGACGTTTGGCAAACAACAGTCAATCAACCAATCTACTTTGTATACTCACTGCCATATAATCTTATCAAACGAGAAAGTTTCTTGTTGAATGAACATGGTGCTGAGGTAAAATGTTGGTGTAACTATATCTGTTGTAGTCTTTACAATCATGATTGCATGCTCAATCAAAAGTACACTAATGCAGCGTGAAAAGAAATGATTAAGAAATATTTTTTTTTTTATATTTATGCTTTTTTTTTGCCTAAATTAAGAGTTTCAGGTGATAGGTATTGTGATGGGGACTACTTGTGCCCTTTTTATTGCAGATTTATTCCTTAACGGTTATGAATCACATCTTATTGCTAAACTTCATAAAGAACCGAATAAATGCCTATTGATAGATATTTTCAATAATCTCAGCAGATATTTAAACTGTTACTTCTTATGTACTGTACCTGAACTGATTTATATTGCTTTTTTATGTATCTTTTGTAATCCACTGGTCAAGATAAAAATGAGGGTTAAGATTTAGAAAAAAACTGTTATAACCCTCCCCCATGTTCATGTACTTGTCAAAAGTCAGAACGGAAACAGTGATTTTCTTTTGTCATATCTTTACAGTATTTTTTGTTGTTGAGAATTTCACTTTGTATCTTGATTCCTACTAAAGCTCACCACAGAGTATGAACCATTTTCAGACTTCAGGACTGAGCTGTGTATTAAAAAAAACCCAGGAATTAGGACATTTTTTGTTTGAAATCAGGACTGAATTATATACATGGGATTTAAACACACTTTATATCATTTGGATTGTGGGTTTGATTATTCATTTCTCAGGATTTTGGGGAAACACCCTTTCCTTCGACTCCTTAACTGTTACACAATAAGAACTCCTGACTTCCATTGAAAAAAAAATCATGAAAATCAACTTGATATTTGCTCTTTTGCATAATCAAATATGTTGGACAGTTTGCTGAATGAATAAAAATTTTAAAAAAAGTATGTAATGTGAAAAAATATTTTTATTCAAAATTCACTTAATAAAAGAATATATATGGTATATAATATAACCACATATCATAATTTTACATCATTAGTAAATATTTAGTCCACCACAGAGTATAAAACTTCAAATAAAAATTTAAAAAAAAGAGTTAAAATCAGAAAAAAATACTAAAACATTGGTTTAAAACAATCAAACATAATCTAAAGTAAGAAAAATAAAAAAATAAAGCCATTATACCGTAATAATCAGGTTATTTTTTGTTTCAGGTTTTGTTCACCATTTTAACCTTAAAAAGCACAGTTAAATCTGTGTTGTGTTTATTGTTCTGATTTCAAAGGCCATGTATATAACTTGACAGTGAAGTATTCCAGTACAGTTTTTCACAGTAAACATGGTAAAATATCTTCCACCAAAAATATGACACAACCAAAATTTCCCATTTAATGTTTCTTTTTCTTCCATCTTGTAAGCTATACCTATATACTAATGAAATGAAAAACTAGAGGCTCTCAAGAGCCTGTGTCGCTCACCTGTATTTACTGATGCTTTGTAAATCATGTAAAATAAGGTTAAAATCATAATTAATAGTATTAGATATTAGATATTATAATGATATCTAAGATAATAACAAAAAACTGCAAAATTATTGTAAAATTACTAACTCAGGGGCAGCAACCCAACAACGGGTTGTCGGATTCGTCTGAAAATTTCAGGGCAGATTAATCTAAATCTGATGAACATTTTGCCCCTGTCAGATTTGTTCTAAATGCTTTAGTTTCAGAGATATAAACCAAAAACTGCATTTTACCCCTATGTTCTATTTTTAACAAAGTCAGCCATGATGGTTGGAAGGCGGGGTCATCAGACAAATTTTTTAAACTAGATACCCTAATAATGATTATGGCCAAGTATGGTTAAATTTGTCTCAGTAGTTTCAGAGAAGAAGATTTTTGTAAAAGATTACCAAAATTTACAAAAAATTGTTAAAAATTGACTATTAAGGGCAATAACTCCTAAAGGGGTAGACTGACAATTTTGTTCATAACAACTTATTTGTAGATCTTACTTTACTGAACATTATTGCTGTTTACAGTTTATCTCTATCTATATAATAATATTCAAGATAATAACCAAAAACTGCAAAATTTCCTTAAAATTACCAATTCAGGGGCAGCAACCCAACAACAGGTTGTCAGATTTGTCTGAAAATTTCAGGGCAGATAGATCTTGACCTGATAATCAGTTTTATCCTGTCAGATTTACTCTAAATGCTTTGGTTTCAGAGATATAAGCCAAAATCTACATTTTACCCCTATGTTCTATTTTTAGCCATGGCGGCCATCTTGGTTGGTTGGCAGGGTCATTGGACACATTTTTTAAACTAGATACCCTAATGATGATTGTGGCCAAGTTTGGTTAAATTTGTCTCAGTAGTTTCAGAGAAGAAGATTTTTGTAAAAGATTACCAAAATTTACAAAAAATTGTTAAAAATTGACTATTAAGGGCAATAACTCCTAAAGGGGTAGACTGACAATTTTGTTCAAAACAACTTATTTGTAGATCTTACTTTACTGAACATTATTGCTGTTTACAGTTTATCTCTATCTATATAATAATATTCAAGATAATAACCAAAAACTGCAAAATTTCCTTAAAATTACCAATTCAGGGGCAGCAACCCAACAACAGGTTGTCAGATTTGTCTGAAAATTTCAGGGCAGATAGATCTTGACCTGATAATCAGTTTTATCCTGTCAGATTAACTCTAAATGCTTTGGTTTCAGAGATATAAGCCAAAATCTACATTTTACCCCTATGTTCTATTTTTAGCCATGGCGGCCATCTTGGTTGGTTGGCAGGGTCATTGGACACATTTTTTAAACTAGATACCCTAATGATGATTGTGGCCAAGTTTTGTTAAATTTGTCCCAGTGGTTTCAGAGGAGAAGATTTTTGTAAAAAGCTAACGACGACCGATGATGACGACAATGACGACGACGCCAGGGTGAGCTAAAAAGCAATACTTTAATAAATTGAAATTTTACTGAAGCCTTGAGCATATTCCCAGAATCAAATGGACAATTACATCATATAAATTCAACAATTTTACTATTGTCATTCCAATGAATCTGAGGTAGGTTACTTTTCCAATGTTTCCTGAATAAATACTTTTCATTATGGTAATTACTCTAAACAAAGAAGGCACTGACCTAAAAAAAATTATCTAAAAGCTTAAAGAACACCGCTTTTCTTGATTCTCTTCTAATAGTGCACTGGTGTTCCTTTAATGATATAAAATTACAGATTGAATGAGAGAGAGTGTCAAAAGTACTGCTCTAAATTCATACAGAAAAAGTTCATTCTGATAAATCAGGCTCCAGCAGGGTACCTCCCTAGACTAGAATTACCAGTTTTTCTGCCCAAAGTCCTCTCTCTGGATACCCTTGCATCCTCCAGCAAACTGGCTGCCATGATATAGCCAAATGTTCTAAAAGTGGTGTTAAACACCAAACAATCAATCAATCAATAAATCTAATGCTGATAATGTTTCACTGAAAACTTCAGTCCAACCACTAGCTTTGATATCATCTTCATAGCAATATGGCAAAATGGTTTCAAATGAAATTTTAATGATGTAAACTGAAACAGTTTTGGCAAGAATGACACATCACCGATAAATCTATATTTCTGACTAGAAAATTCACCACCTTAAAAACAAATTAGCAAAGGTGTATAATACTTATAGAAATCAATAACATAACAATAAATAATGAGTAACAAATTATAGTATAGGCACATTCTTGCTTTATATGGTAATGAATATAAAAATTCGTAAGGGTTCTGCAGAACCCAGTGTCTCGCCTACTTTTGCTGTTAGTCGCAGGCTCAACAAAAATGGGGAAATAATTATTAAAAATTTTCCTCTAGATACTATCTTTTGAATGTAAAAAGCTTCTGTTCAAGTTTGGTAAGAATCCAGGATGGTTTATGAATCTAATAAATGTTTTAAAAACTTTAACTGCAGACTGTATGTAATGTTAACTGGAAGAAAAACTAAGTCCATTTATAAGTAATATACGGAAAAACAGGAAATTTTTTTTTACAAAATTTCCTTCTAGATACTAGCTTTTGATCATAAACAAGCATCTGTCCAAGTTTGGTACAAATCCAGGATAGTTTAAGAAAGTTATTAAAATTTTGAAAACTTTAACCACAGAGTGAATGTTATGTTAACTGGCAGAAAAACTAAGTCCATTTATAAGTAAAATACGGAAAAACAGGATTTTTTTTTTAACAAAATTTACTTTTAAATACTATCTTATGATCATAAACAAGCTTCTAACCAAGTATGGTATGAATCCAGGATAGTTTAGGAAAGTTATTAAAATTTGAAAAACTTAATCAACAGAGTGAATGTAATGTTAACTGGCAGAAAAACTAAGTCCATTTAAAATTAAAATAAAGATAAACAGGATTTTATTTTTTACAAAACTTACTTCTGGATACTATCTTATGATCATAAACCAGCTTCTGTCCAAGTTTGGTAGAAACCCAGGATAGTTTAAGAAAGTTATTAAAATTTCAAAAACTTCAACCACAGAGTGAATAATGGTGGACGCTGCCGCCGAAGACGATGACGGAATGTAGGATCGCTATGTCTCGCTTTTGCGACTAAAGTCGCAGGCTCGACAAAAATGATATGTTTTATAGTGTACTAGTAATGTATCAATTCAAACCAATACAATACTAGGAAATATCATATAATTGAACACACCCTCTTAACTGTATACTACATACAGCTGTTTAAAAAGTTTTCTTTATTCTATTCTTAATAAATCTAATGTAATGACTGTCTTTATAGGATTTTAATGTGTGCTTTCACATTATTTATATCATAAAATGCATTGTATATTGAAATATGAGAAACTAATACTATATTTTTCACACAAAATTTTCATCTTTAAAAAATAAATGAAAATTTTGTTACATTATGTTGATAGGAAAATAATCATTTTAAATCAATTATCGAAATTTTCTTGCATCTATTATAATAGCAATAGATTTAACATGCTATATTGTAGTTGTCATCTCAAAAACTGTGAATCCAAAAGTCTTTGAAGAGCTTTTAAACAGCACACACTACATTTTAATCAAATAGGTTACTGCATTATAACAAATAAAAAATACGTTAGGAATTGTAAACCAAACTGTTAGTAATAGAAGAATATCTATACATCAAACATAAAAATATTACTAAGCCAATAAACGCAACAATCTTTATCATCTTCAACAAAAAATCTTCCTCGCTCCTGATGAGATCTGATAATATAAACAGCATCCAAGTCTATGTAATCATTTGTCTTCCTTTTCAGATCTTTCTCCTGTTGATCCATAATCTGAAGTCACACAAAACATACAAGATTTTATAATACTTAAGATAAAGTGTGTATGTACTGCATGCATGAAGGTTACTTGCTTGTTAGGTTAACCATGAATCTTTATTAGCTATAGTAACAGGGGCATATCAAGGATTTTTGAAAAGGGAGCATAATTCCAGAAAACAGAATATTTTTTTGATGATTTTATGCTTAAATATGATATAAATCTTGAGAAACATGAGTGTTTTTTTTTAGATCAAAGAGGAAGTGTATGCTGTCTAGGCCCTGGATGTGCCACTGAGTTAAATACAGTGATAAACTTGTCATACAGGTATAATAAATTCATGCAGTAGTCCTTTTGTTACTTGTCTATAATAACTACCACTGTTACTCTTCCAATAGATAATAATCACAGGCAATTATAGGGATTTCTTTATCCACCAACTTACACCTAGGAAATTAGCAATGGTACTCCATTCCTCTTTGTAAAAAATGATAAAATATATGCAGGATTCTATATTAAGCCCTTGCACAATCTAAATCTAACAAAAACGAGTTTGCACTAATACATACACTGTTTAAAAATTCTGATGATTTCTAGTGGCTCAAAAAACTATAGTATGTGACACTTAGTATATGGTACTATAATTTTAACTAAAAAAACAGACTTTTCAAGAAAATAGTAGGTCTTAAATCCATAGGGAACTTTTTATACAATGTTCTTGAATCCATGGGGACTTGGATTCATAAAAAATACATAAAACTTGTCACAAAATGTTCCAAGTTAAAGAATGTGAATTATTATTATACTTACTTGCATAGTCAGTATCAAGCAATCTTGGTGACGAATGATTGGGTGTAACTATTCTGCTTGGTACTCTAGAACTATCTCTGGGACTATTAATTGATGATAACCTTGATAATAATCTCTCTTTTTTTGCAGAATGGAGAGGCATGCAGGCATGTCCTAGTATTGACGCAAAATACATAAAACTTAACAACATCTGAAAATTTATAAAAAATCATAATAGAAATGCAAAGTTTCTGTATTAAACTAGAAACTCTCTCTAACCTGATTCACTCATTTAGCAATCCCCAAGTGCAATAGTGATGGGTGTTGATCAGGTCGAGTTGAGTTTGTTGTGAATGGATCTCTTTTTTTGGCTAAATCAAATTTGATTGAATCAGGGAATTAATTTAATCAGGAATGTTTTCAGGAACAAATAAAATGTGACACAATAACAGACACTTTCTGAATATCATGTGGTCTACACTTCAACAAATAAATGATATAGAACAAAAATTATACTGATTCTAATGTAAGAAATGATCACAACTAAATATAGAAATAAGGAGATGTGGTATGATTGTCAATGAGACAACTATCCACCAGAGTCCAAATCATAAAGTTATAAGCAATTAAAGGTCACCGTAGTGCCTTCAACAATGAGAAAAACCCATACCATATAGTCATCAATAAAAGGCCCCAACATGAAAAATGTGAAACAATTCAAACGAGAAAACATATAGCCTAATTCATAACAATACAATTTATGGAAAACAAATATGACAGACATGAACCAAAGACAACCACTGAATTACAGGCTCCTGACTTGGGACATAATGTGGTGAGGTTAAACATGTTTGTGAGTGCTCAACCCTCCTATGCCTATTATTAGTTTGTGTGAGAAATGTACAAAATAAATTATCTTACCTGCATTGAAACAAATATACAATTGTACCAGTCATCAGGTGTGATGTCAACATTCCCACATAGGGTACCAGTAGATACAGAGAAGTACAGGAATTTACAATAAATTATAGCAATATACACTGGGTCATCTACATCCTCCCGTAAATATTTCCAAGATGTTGGCTGCAATGAAATAAGAATCAAGCATTATATTCTAAAATAACCAATTTAAAAACAATTCAAATCTTTATTGCAATTTACTGTGGAATCATTTATTTCCGTGGGTATCAATTTTCATAGATTGAGGAAAAAAGGTATTTTCATGGATATTTGATTCTAGAATTTTAATAAATCTTAATTTTGATAATTTGCTGTTTTTCATGGTTTTGCCAAAGTCAATATACAAGCTATAGATAATTTATATTTCACTGAACTTTTAAATTTGTGCTTCACCTTTAGCATCCACAGAAAATTTGTATCCTAAGAATAATAATGAATCCACAGTTACTAAATAACCTGGTGACAAATTCAAAGAAAAAAAAGAAAAATCATTTCAGGGGAAATTCAGGCAAACAGTAAATGAATAAAATAACAGATCAAGCTAATACATCAAGATTTCCATATCTCAGTGAAGGGCCCCATGTGAGCTTATACCATCACTTGGCATCCGTTGTAGTCCGTCGTCTGTCGTAAACTATTTCAAGAATCTTCTCCTCTAAAACTACTGGGCCAAATACCTTCAAACTTTAACTGAATGTTCCTTAGTGTATCTAGTTTATAAATTGTATCCAAAGTTTTGATCCATCAACAAACATGGCCACCATGGCTAAAAATAGAACAAAGGGGTCAAATACAGTTTTTGGCTTATATCTCAAAAACTAAAGCATTTAGAGCAAATCTGACATGGGATAAAAAATGTTTAAAAGTCAAGATCTATCAGCCCTGAAATTTTCAGAGGAATCGAACAACCCATTGCTGGATTGCTGCCATTTAATTGGTAATTTTTATGGAAATTTTGCCGTTTTTGGTTATCATCTTGGATATTATTGAAGATAAAGATAAACTGTAAACAGCAAAGTAAGATCTACAAAAAAGTTTAATGACTAAAATTGTCAATTGACCCCTTAAGGAGTTATAAGGACAATTTTACACAATTTGTTCATCATGTTTGCTAACATTTAAAAATCTTCTCCTCTGATACTACTGGGCCTAATACTTCTAAACTATAACTGATGTTCCTTAGGGTAACTGGTTTATAAATTGTATCCAAAGTTTTGAATCATTAACAAACATTGGCGCCATGGCTAAAAATAGAACATAGGGGTCAAATGTAGTTTTTGGCTTTTATCTCAAAAACTATAGCAGTAAGAGCAAAAGTGACATGGGTTAAAAGTTTTGATTAAGTCAAGATCTATCTGCTATGAAATTTTCAGACCAAATGGACCATCCATTGTAGGGTTACTGTCCGATTATAATAGATAGAGAGAAAGTGTAAATAGCAAAAATGTTCAGCTAAGTAAGATCTACAAATAAGTCAAATGATCAAAATAGTCAATTGACTCCTCATGGAGTTATTGCCCTTGAAAAGTTTGTTTTTTACATTTTTTTGTGCAATCTATTACTTTTTCAAAAATCTTCTTCTCTGAAACTACTAAGTCAAACACTTCCAAACTTTAACTGAATGCTCCTTAGGGTATCTAGTTTATAAATTGTATCCGAAGTTTTGATTCATCAACAAACATGGCCGCCATGGCTAAAAATAGAACATAGGGGACAAAAGCAGTTTTTGGCTTATATCACAATAAACTGCTAAGCCTAGTACAGCTGAATACGACCACAGAGGTCCAACCCTGAACATTTGGGGCAAAAATGACACAATATTCAAGCTTGATACAGGTCTGAATTTGGATTGTAATTAAATATTTGACACATTATAGGTTTCTGACACAGAATAAATGTAGTCAAAGAACTTGAAATTTGTTATAATATGATTTGAATTTATATTCAATTGAAGATTTCTTGCTTTTGTGCAATACACTGTGCTGTTGCAAATACTTAGTAAACCTGTTTTCAGACTATATACAAATAATTAGCAAAATAAATTGTGACCCCCCAATTTTTCTTTGGACCCCCCAAAAATAATTTTTTTACACCCCCCCCCCCCCCCCCCCCCACCACCCCCCCTTTTCCAAAAATATAACATTTGAAGAAATTTTCTATTTGTAATATGTGGTACAATTTAAAAAAATACATATACACAAGTTATTGCCTGAAAATTAAAAAAAATGCTTGTTTTAGACCCTTTTTGGCCTTTAATTCCTGAATGGTTTGGGAAACTACCCCCAAAATGAATCCCAACCTTCTACTTGTGGTACTGAACCTTGTGGTACAATTTCAGAGCAATCACAATACTTATACACAAGTTATTGTCCTGAAAATAGAAAAATGCTTGTTTTGGACCCCTTTTTGGCCCCTAATACCTAAACGGTTAGGACAATCACCCCCAAAAACAATCTCAAGCTTCCTTTTGTGGTATTGAACCTTTTGATGAAATTTCATAGAGATCCATACACTTAAACTAAAGTTATTGTCCTGAAAGCAAATGTCTTCAGACGCCGACGCCGACAAGATAGCATTTTACGACCCCAAAATTTTTTTGTGGTCTTAAAAAAACTACAGCAGTTAGATCAAAGTGAAAGAGAGTTAAAGTGAAAAATGGGTCATGATCTATCTCTGTTATGAAATTTTCAGACGAGTTCGACAACCCATTGTTGGGTTACTGTTGGAAATAGTTTATTTTTATTAAATTTTACTGTTTTTGGTTATTTTCTTTAATATTATAATAGATAGAGAGAAAGTAAAAATGGCAATAAATGTTCAGCTAAGTCAGATCTACAAATAAGTCAACATAATCAAAATAGTCAATTGATCCCTTGAGGAGTTATTGCCCTTAAAACGTTTTTTTTTCAACATTTTTTGTGAAATTCCAATTACTTTTTCAAAAATCTTCTTCTCTGAAACTACTTAGCCAAATACTTAAAAACTTTAATTGAATGTTCCTTAGGGTATCTAGTTTATAGATTGTATTCGGGGATTTGATCTATTCAAAAACATGGCGGCAGCTTCTAAAAATAGAACATAGGGGTCAAATGAAGTTTTTGGCTTTCATCTCAAAAACTAAAGCAGCAAGAGCAAAACTGACAAAGGTGAAAGTGTTAAACAGGTTTAGATCTACCTGTCAAGTAATCTTCAGACCAATAGACACTTATTGTTAGATTACTGTCCAGATATAGTTAATTTTTAGGAAATTTTACAGTTTTGGGTTATGTATTATCTTTAATATTGTTAAAGAAAGAGAGAAAGTGTAAATGACAAAATTGTTCAGCAAAGTAAGATCTTCAAATAAGTCAAATGCCTGAAACTGAAATTACAGCCAGGTGAGCGATATCAGGCTCTCATGAGCCTCTTGTTTATAAAGGAAACTATAAAGGAGTGAACCCATATAAAAAATAAGGAGATGTGGTATGATTTCCGATGAGAAAACTATCCACCAGAGACCAAATGAATTTGATTTAAGCAACTATAGGTTTAAATTCATGGTTTATCAATATCCATGAAATCAACAAAAATAGATGTCCCACAAATAATACTGAATCCATAATCCGAATAATTCAGTTCCTCCCCATTCCCGAGGGCCTAAACTCCTTTTAAGATTAAAACATGTTGCAAAGCAAGGATTTTGATTGGTGCTCTGCTATTTCCAAATGATTAATTGACAATTTTCCATTGACTAGACTTTCAGACGTTTATATACCCATCGTAGAGCAGGGAAATATAACGACTGAATTATTCAGGTTAATGAATTCACTGTGATTATTTGGGATATTTCCTCCTAATTGTTTTTCACAGGTCTTAAGATGAATTTAACCCTGGTGTATTGTGTACCTTTAAACGTTTAGTAATAGTATACAATCCAGCAAACAACAACAACGTGGCAATGTATGACTGGATCAGAAATATCCAACTAACAGGCTGAATACCGGAAATCATCTGTCTGGCTAAATTGGCTGAAAGTGAAGGCAAAAAAATTATGTACTCATGATATCATTAAACAAATCAGTGTACAGATAGTTTGTTTTTATGTTGTGCTGTTACACCACCATCCAAGGTTAGGGAGGGTAGAGCACTCACAAACATGTTAAACTCCACCATATTCTTTATGTGCCCGTCCTAAGCCAGGAGCCTGTAATTCAGTGGTTGTCATTGGTTGCTGTCTATCGTATTTGTTTTTCATTTAAATGTTTTGAACATACATCAGAGTCGTTGGTATTGTTTTACGTTTTGTCATGTCGAGGCATTTTATATCTGACTATAAGGTTTTGACCATTGTTGAAGGCTGTACAGTAACCTATAGTTGTTTACATAAATGCTATTTGGTCTCTAGTGGATAGTTGTCTTACTGGTATTAGGCAATCATACCTCATCTTCTTATTTTCATACTAAAATCAAATTTGGAACTTTTCAAAAAACTATAACATACCTGATGTTATGATAATGAGGACTAGATTTATAAGCTGGAGTATGATCATAGTAGCACTACTCTGAAATAAAAAGTACAATTGAGATAACTTTATCATTACATTGGTTGCAATGAATGGAACAACACAAATAATTAACTCATGCCCTATGCACATTCATGAGTTGAAGTGTTGTTCAGTCACTACTTGAATATTTATCTACATTTTAATTCTTAAATAAGTTTTTCTATAAATACTTAAATGTTTATCAATCTGTCTTGCAACATGTTTTCTATGTTTTTTGTACTAAATCTGAAGGTTGTCATTGCAGGGTTTTGAACAAAGTATGTAAAAACCAACCATTAACATTAATTATGATCTTCCTCATAGTTGAAATATGGCAATATAAATATTCCCCTTATCATATATCTATCTTCTCAAAAATTAAAGAAATATTGGGCAATTGATTTAAAAAAAAAAACAAGTAAATTATCTCCCTTTAGTTATGTTTGTTAAAAGAGAAAATTTGTACCATTCAATGATTGAACTGTCTTTCAAGAATTTATCTTTTGATTTCATTTTAAATCACAGGCTCAGCTAGTCATATAAGCTTAGAACCAATTGGTAGTAATTGACAAAATGTTATAATGGTAAAAAATATGATAACACATTTCCTTATTCCTATACTGATACTTACTGCATCTAATGCTGCTTTCGTGTCATTTTGTGGTAAAAAATCTATGATTGTTTGTATTAACAGATTTATGCCCTGAAAATACAAAACAAACAAACCTGCTACTGATAATTCAAAACTCTGTTGTAATTATAATACAAATATTGAAATAAATGCATGAATATTGTGGATTCAATTATTTTCTTGGGTACAAATCTAAGGATTGTCGATTGAGGAAGAATTGTATTTTCATGGATAATAGGTTACACAGTTTTGCAAAGTTTGAATACAAGCCTATGGAAAATTGCAATTTCTAATGCAATTATTTTGTATCAATGGTTCTGATTGGATGACAATCAGCGTAAAATTCTCTATCTCCCTGTCTGTAACTTAAAGGAAGCTGACATTTTGAATTCCAGAATGTATTGACATGTAATTTCTCCAATAATAAGCAAAACAACTCACATTTTGCACCTAAAAATCTTCTTTTTATAAAACTTTATAACATTCTGAAGCAGACAAGAAGCCAGAAAACGCCCAGTGTTTACGTTTGATGCCGGAAGCATACTTATGACGTCACCTAGTTTAGACGCAAAAGAAAATAACATCATTTCGCGGGATTTTTGTGTAATGAAAATTTACACTATAATAATGACTTAAATTGAATGATTTGTTTTTTTGCATTAGAATAGAGATAACTGTATTGTATTTGAAAATTTGCGGACGTCCATCGGTAGTTTTACTGTCGCAAATAACCGTTTACCTGTCTCCGCTACGGGTTGCCAGGTAAACTAAATTTGTGCCAGTAAAACTACCGATGGACATCCGCAAAGCTTCAAATACAATACAGTTATCTCTAAATTGTTGTTACATTTGTGGTTCAACTATTCCAAAAAAATCCATGAATAATTATGAATCCACAGTATATACTAGGAACTTAATTTTTATACTTTTTTATGTCTAAATTTTTATGCTCAAAACTAATCAAACAAGAAATGATTGTAACAGGATGCTGTTATGAAGTCTCCCAAACGAAGCTCCCATAATTCGTAATTCCCAGGGTCGCCTGACATTGGGCAACGTCCAGTGAAAATTGGTTTGGTCCAGTAAAGTTATATGCATTAGTGATGCCTGGGGACTAACCCTGTATATCATTCAAATCATCTTGGCATGACAAACCAGAATATATATGGTTTAGGGTGGGGATCTCGACCATTTACAAGATACTAGAACATTGGGGGTGGGGGGAACCCCTGGGGACTGACCCTATACGTCATTCAAATGTTCGTTACATGACATACAGGAATATATATGGTTTAGGGGTGGGGATCTCAACCATTTACAAGATATTAGAACATTGGGGGTGGGGGGACCCCTAGGGACTGACCCTATACGTCATTCAAATGTTCGAAACATGACAAATACGTATATATATGGTTTAGGGGTGGGGATCTCAACCATTTACAAGATATTAGAATTTTCTCAAATGGCAGGGGGTCAGGATGACCCCTGGGGACTAACCCTGTATATCATTCAAACCATCTTAGCATGACAAACCAGAATATATATGGTTTAGGGGTGGGGATCTTGACCACTTACAAGATATATTAGAACTTTCTTAAATGGCAGGGGGTGGGGGTGACCCCTGGAAACTAACCATGTATTTCATTTGATGTGCTTTATCATGACAAACCAGAATATATATGGTTTAGGGGTGGGGATCTCGACCATTTACAAGATATTAGAACTTTCTCAAATGGCATGGGGTCGGGATGACCCCTGGGGACTAACCCTGTATATCATTCAAACCATCTTAGCATGACAAACCAGAATATATATGGTTTAGGGGTGGGGATCTTCACCACTTACAAGATATTAGAACTTTTTTAAATGGCATGGGGTGGGGGTGACCCCTGGGGACTAACCCTGTATTTCATTTGATGTGCTTTATCATGACAAACCAGAATATATATGGTTTAGGGGTAGGGATCTCGACCATTTACAAGATATTAGAACTTTCTCAAATGGCAGGGGGTCAGGATGACCCCTGGGGACTAACTCTGTATATCATTCAAACCATCTTAGCATGACAAACCAAAATATATATGGTTTAGGGGTAGGGATCTTGACCACTTACAAGGTATTAGAACTTTCTTAAATGGCAGGGGGTGGGGGTGACCCCTGGGGACTAACCCTGTATTACATTTGATGTGCTTTATCATGACAAACCAGAATATATATGGTTTAGGGGTGGGGATCTCGTCCATTTACAAGATATTAGAACTTTCTCAAATGGCATGGGGTCGGGATGACCCCTGGGGACTAACCCTGTTTATCATTCAAACCATCTTAGCATGACAAACCAAAATATATATGGTTTAGGGGTAGGGATCTTGACCACTTACAAGGTATTAGAACTTTCTTAAATGGCAGGGGGTGGGGGTGACCCCTGGGGACTAACCCTGTATTTCATTTAATGGGCTTTATCATTTAGAACATTTTCAATTAAAAAGATTGTGTTTATCACAAACGGTTTTCAATTTATAATCATTTGAAAATTTAAAAAAATAAAATCCCATAGGGTTCTATAGTAAAACCCTCTTTTCTTTTTGCCCCTCAAAGTACCCCTTTATAAACCCCATTGCACAAACAAAACCCTGATTGCACCACTAGACATGTTAGTCTAACATATTGTGAAACCCTAAGTTAACCTGACAAGCGGTTTTGGAGAACAGGTGCGGACAAGTTCAAATTTGAAAGCGGCGGAAGAAGAAGAAGAATAATAATAATAATAATAAGAACTGAGCAAAAACAATAAGTCTTCCCAAACATCGTTTGGGAGACTTAATAAAAGAACAAAGTTCCAATGTCCCAGCGTTGCACATATTTTATATTTCCAAAGAGCATTACACTTTTAAAAAAAGTCGATCTTCCACCATTATATAACTTGTACAAGGTATTGCTGATATTAACCTTAAGTATAAGTTTGATAAAAATCTGCATGAATTATACCAGTGAGAGCACTAACGAGGCTATTTATCCATAAATGTGATATTTCCAAGGGACATAACTCTTTTAAAAAAGTCGATCAGCCACCATTATAGAATTCGTCAGAGATATTGCTGATATTAACCTATTGTATTACTTTTATAAAAATCTAGCAAGAATTGTACCTGTGAGAGCACTAACGAGGCCATTTTCCATAAATTTAATATTTCCAAGGGACATAACTCTTTTAAAAAAAGTCATTCTGCCACCATTTTAGAACTTGTCCAAGATATTAATCTATAGTATAAGTTTTATTAAAATCTGGCTAGAATTGTACCCATGAGAGGGGTAACAAGACGGGACGGACGGACGGACACACAGACGCACACCTGGTATTTCCATGTCCACTTCAACGCGTTACGCGGGGGACAATAAAAAATATATTGTACTTGCAATATTTTCTATAAATCTTGACAGACATTTCCACATGTATCCAGCTCATGTGGCATGACAATCATGAGATGAATTATGTTGATCTGACCTTTTAAACAGCTTATATTTTTTTCTTTGAAACAAAAATTAATCTTATGTGACCTTACTCTTGAAACATCAGGTCTGCCTTTTACAAAAATTCGTACCACTAAAACTGATTGTAAGTATACTGAATTGTTCATGAATAACGATCAATTTTAGTTGTAAGATTTTTTCTTTCACATCTGACATCACTATTTTGTATATTGGAATTTTGTCTTTGGAACTAAATCAAGGCCAATTACCCTACTGAGGCCACCATTTGCCTTTGCCTGATCCAAAGACTAAGATGTGAGCCTGGAGCAACCTCACTGTGTAAAAAAATACCTCTACGGAAACCACACCAAAAGAACCTTCATATTGTGTTGGCATTGGTGAAGTCCTTACGTTTCAAACATGCACAAAGAGGACTAAGTAAGTAAGTAAGTATACTCTTCTTCAACACACAAATTTACCCTTGGTGTAAGGTTAAGTGTATAAAAAAAATAAATTATAGATATACCTGAAGAATAACTGTGAAAATGATAGTTTTAGTTCCAGTGACTGCTCTGAGTACAGATAAACATTTTTTACACATAAAATCTCTAAATCTGCTGCTATTAGTTGGAGTATAAGATGACTGTTCTCTTATTTGTTTCTGAAAAAGAAACATCAGTTTGTAATGGTTTATCTTGCACAGTAACTACTGTAAACCAACTAATTTTCGTGACATTTGCGAGAAGAAAAATAATGCGAATAAAAATCGTCGCAAAAATTTTAATCTTGGATCCTTCCTTGTCTAATTACTTCAAGTAAATTTTAAAATCGCGAAATTAAATCACTGCCAATTGGGCTAGAAAGGGCTAAACGCGAAATAAAGTATCTGCGAAAATAAGTTGGTTTACAGTATATTACTAATTAGTTTTCACATGTATAATATATATTATTAATCATAAACAATGGTCAAATGATGTTAAAATTGGTAGTAAATATATTCAAGACATCTCAGATTAGAGATTGCCACACAAACTATGAAAGTCATAGACTTTGCTAAATGTTTAGTCCCTTACAATCTGTAATATGTAAATAATATAAACCAGCATCGATGTCAGTCTTAAAAGCACATGACATGTGTAGTTTTATCAATACCTAACAAATATTTCCACTAGTGTTTGAGTCTTTCTTGATATAATTGCAGTAAGGTGTGAGCTTTTGGTATGTTTTTAGGCCTCACTGTGACTTTAAGATGAAAGACAGCTTTATAGCCAGACTTAGTGTTCCTAATCCTTTAAACTTGGTCGAATACCTGTAAGGAATTTTTGTCTTTGATTAATTTACAATACCCTTTCCTTTCCATTGTGGTGTACTTGCAGAAGTCATGTTTACTAAGATGTGACAAAAACCCCATGATGGCTTTAACCACACATATACTTTAGTCGTTTATCTTACTTCTAAATTTCATGCACTTCACTCAAAAGCAGTTAAAAGGGCCAAACTCAATATTTTCTAAGTCTTAGTGAAATCCATTAACCTGTCTTTTTTATATGTTTGTTTTTTAATGAAATGTACAATGACAACTCTTTCACTGCATTACTCCCTGATTTTTTTTAGGAAGAATGGGCAATGATAAAAGAAAAAGACACAGTGTCATTATATATATGAGCCAGTCCATGCGAAAATGTACAAAAGGGGGGGGGGGGGGGGGATGGGGAGTGTCAGCACTGAAAGGTGTGTATAACTTACAGCTTAAGGGTATGAGGAAAAGTAACAGTGTTTTATAGATCACAAGTCTACTACCAATAATTATGCACACTTTTTAGAATTTCTTAATTTTTTCACATTTGTACCTTTTTGCATGGACTGGCTCATCATGCTCATATACAGAAATGTTCAAATCATTCATCATATATATGTTCCGGACCATGTGAGTATTTGGACCATACACCTAAGGTCATGACCATAAGGCGTATATACTCATATGGTCTCTTTAATTAATATGATGAACGTTGAAAAGTTGCTTATACTGTAATTTGCCTACGGTATGAACGACTCTTGAATTTACCTATTTTATTATGTAGCAAGAAAACGAGTCCGGTGACCCCATTTTTTCTTTTTCTTATCTAAAAGCATATTATTAGAGCTATCTTCTCATATTTTATTTTAAAATTCTATGGTGTAGTTTTCTTTTTATCACACAAAATTGGGTTTTCCATGCATAATCTATACAAAATCTGACAATTTTGCACAACGTGTAGCGTGAACAAAAGCCTGGTGACCCATACTTTTTATTATATTTTTGGAAAAAGCATGATATAAACTGCATTTTGACAAATTATCAAAAAATTCTATGGATTTTAATTTAGACCCCCTATCTACCTTAATTAAGAGTTTCTACAAACAAAATTTTGACTTATTTAATCATAATTATGGTAATTATTGTTAGATGATAATATTATAAGTGAATTTAACTCAAAATTTAAAATTATAGTAAAAGCAATTTTACATGGTTGATATCAATTTTTCTTTTGAAACACAATATGTCAACGTTGGAAAATAACTTCAAGAAATATCTAAATGATTCGTTAAACAATAAGTCGACTGGTTTTTTTTTCACCTGCACTTGGGGCATTGAACCCTCTTATTCTTTATTTTGGTGTTTAATTGTGTTCATGTAAATTAAAATTTTATAAATATTTCACATCATTTTAATTTTTAATGTGTTGATGCTCCTCTTCAAACGATTTTACGATAAGTATGTGGGGAAAAAAAGAATAGCGGGGCAGCACGTATAAACTGTTGTTATTGTATGATGGTATGAATTGAAGCAAGAACACACCAATTTAAACATAAATAATAATTAGAAAAATAATCTAAACAACAGGGGAAAAACATTGCATGGGTTTCACTTACGAATGAAAAATTCCACAGGATAAACAATGATAAAGGTGCTAAAAATTGACTGTAGCGAAGGTAAGATAACAGATACACCAAGATTCTGATGCCGACTTGTTCTGGAGAACGAGCTGTGTGTTCCTGCGAAGGAAGATAGAATTAATTTTAAAAATACCTATAAGGTCTATATACTCATGTGGTCATGAACATGCGCTTATGGTCCAAATACTCATATGGTTCGGAACATATATAATACCTTTTCAAGATCTGCATCTATTTCTGTTAAGAAGTTGCGTAAGATATCACTGGTTTCCTCGAGATTCTGTATAAGCTGTAATGTCTGCAAATAATTCAGGTTCAGACCCTCATCCCTTCAAAATATAAAATACAATTGTAAATAAATTGGTCTTCAATTATGAAGAAGTGCAACCCTTTAAAAAAAAGCCTTATATAAATAATCTTAGAATAATTAATGTAAATGAATTAAAGAGATTGCCATTCCAACAATTTCAAGACTCTTAAGGCCATAAAAAAGAATACATTTGCTTGCCCTAACCCTACCTACCTAGATAATAGCTGCCTTCTCAAAATCTTTTATTGCCCTGATTTGAAAAAGTTTTTTTTTTAATCAGATAGACATGAAGACTAAAAAACATCTGACACTTCAATTTCTCTTTGCCAAAAAAAAAGAAAATGCCTACCTACCTACCCACTGTCTACCTTTGGGTAGGGTTTGGGCAAACCAAAATATTTTTAAGTGTGGCCTAATTCATTATTATTTGTGGGATACCAACTCATAAGGACTTCCTTGGTAAAGGTGAACCACAAATTTTGTAAAGGCTTGTTTGTACTCAAATATCCATGAAAATATATTTTTTCCTCAATCCACGAAAATTGGTCATGTTGGTACCCAAGAAAATAAATGAATTTGTATATGTGGTGTTTATGTCCATGTGACAGCAACCCAACAACACAAAGAAACATAACTGATATCTAGAAGTTAACATATGGTTTTCAACAAAAGACAAGTAAATTTAAACCATAATTATGTCAATGTCTGATGTTTGTATATGATAATGTAGGGGTGGGGGTGGTTTCAGATATTACTGGAGCCTTGGGGCTCAAGCCTCGGCAAGTCCTTAAAAAAGGCTTGTCAGAGCGACGTAACGTAACATTTTAAGTACATGCCTGTGTACATGACTTTCTTATCTACCTTCATGGTCTGATGTACGTGTGATGATACAGGTATGGTTACGACAAATACCATAGATAAAACAAAGTAAACATTTAAATCAAATATTATTGTCATTTAAAAGTGAATCATGTACACAGAATACACATAGGGTCAAAATAGTGTCTGTCCAATGTATGATGGGTCAATCACATAAGATTATTGTTATAAAAAAGTATAAATGACGGAGATTCAGGCCAGGTGTAGCAGCAGGCATGCCACCTTTAAATCAGAAAAATATAATTTTTTGCATATCAAACCTAGAAAATTTAGATTTAAGATAGGATAGAAATATGCAACAATTTAACTTATATGCCACTGTTAAAAGGAGAATAGTGAGTTGATTGGTAAATAACCATTAGCAAATATCTTATGAAGGTGCTTAACTGAAAGAATGAAAAATATCTTCCATTACATTAGCTGTCCTATGTATATATCTAACATCTTTGAAGAGTAAAAATTGCATTATTCATACACGAAGCTGTGGTAGAATCTATAAGGCTATTTTAAAAATTGTCATATTAATACAAATCAAATATATATATAATGTATATAAAGTATATTAGAAACTCTTACTAATAATAATTAAATATTTTCTAATTTCATTATATATCAAACTGAATGTAACTGCAAGGACAGCAACTATATACATGATATATATATACTAAATTAAGATTTGTTTTGCCATTTGAAGAATGTATTAAACTTACAATTTGTCTTTCCCCATTCTATGAGACTGTGCATGAGTCTATTCAAATATTTGTATTACATGACAAACAGTACACAAACTTCATACCTATTTATTTGTTTAATTACCTCATCAAAATTGATAATGTTGATTAATACGATATTACTGTTAATGAATATTTATATATGCATACAATATTAAGGTGAATATTTATATTTGTAACATTTGTTTTCGCGTAACTTGTTTGTTCAAAAAGATATTACATGAAAGCTGGGAACATTATATCTATGTTCCCCATGAAAGCAATCAGTTTTTAAAATTAATTAATTTACATTGATTTCGATCATTTCGTACCTTGGAGTTTAGTAAACATGTAATACATTGTAATAATTTTAAAAGTTCTGAATATCTGTTGCAACATTCATATTAATATATACAATTTGATCTCAATGTTGATTTTTCATTTCTAATGGAAAAAAATTATTTTGCAAAAATGTCTCATGATTCTATTAATTTACAAATACAAATACAAATATTTTATTGGCACAAACTCAATTACAATAATCATGATAATTGGCAACGGCCCATACAACTAGTATACAATAGTAATGATGCAGCAATTAAACCATACTTCATAGCATATTAATAGGCACATTTGAATCGAACAATGAAATTTGCAGTTATATATATATTAATATACATAGGTTAATGTAGAATAGGCTATTAACTGACATACATACATTGTATGTTATAGCTTCATAATGTTCATATTACTCATTTGTCAGGGCATTTTTCCTTAATTCAAATGATTGATTAATAAAAGATGATAGTAATCTAAGTGTTTTTCTACACTTGCTATTAAGTAGTAGTTTGATATATATTCATCCTCAGTTTTGGATAGTTTGTCATAATTTTTTAAATTGGACAATTTTGATATAAGTACATTTCTTTGTGATTCATATTTTGTACAGTGCAAGATAAAATGTTTTTCGTCTTCTATATTATTATTATGACATAATTTGCACAACCTTATCTTCTCTGTTAACTCGCAGGTAACTGCCTCTTTCAATTTCAAGATTGTGTGCACTTAGCCTAAGTTTTGCCAAAGGGGCCCTATCTTTCAACATATTCAATTGATCAACATAGTGTGCATGTTTATTTGAAAAACAATAATGTTGAAAAAATGATAATTTTGATGATTCCGTAATATTTGAATTCCGTTCCTGTAAAATTTGGTCATGAATTCGTTGTTTTATCTGAGCAAGCATAGGTTTAATAGGTACATGAAAAGATGGTTTAATAGGTACATGAAAAGATGGTTTAATAGGTACATGAAAAGATGTTAAATACGAGAAGCCCAGATTTTGGATACATTTCTTCATATTACTTGTCCATAGGTAATGTTTTCTCTTGTTTTAATAAAAATGTCATGAGCCAAGATCTTGTCAGATGAGATTAAATGATCTAAGAATTTCATGGAAGACAACATAATTTTAGCTTTTAAGGGGAGTGTACCAAGCTCACTGCGACATGCATTGTTGGAAGTTTTACAGTGAACCCCAAGAATTTCTTTCATAAATTTTATATGAAACTTTATAATGAAACTTTTCAATGACATATGGTTCATTCTTAGTATTTTTTTAGAATTGATTCAATACCCCAAACTTCACTTCCATATAATAAAATTGGAAGAACCATTGTATCAAAAAGTTTTTCTAAAAGTCTACATGAATTGTTCAGACTAAGAGATTTCTTTATTTGTTGATACATCTACGATCTAGGGAGTGTAAACAAATTTTTTCTTCTGCAGAGTAAATATAGGATTGTAATGGTCCAACTTTGTAATTTTTACACCAGACTTTATATATGCTTATTAAATGCTCATGAGAAAAAAATATTTCATACTATGATTGCTGCTGAAAAAAATAAATTACTTCTTTTCCTGCATGACTAAAATTCCCATAATGTAAAAAATGAACTTCTTACATACCTTTATCTAATTGTCAATGAATACAAATGTATTTCAGAATTTAAGATTTATACTATGCACAGACATTTGAAACTTCAATAAAGAAATGTACAAAATCACACTGTTAAAATATTTTTTGTGTTGCAGCATTGCAAGGATTTTTGTTGAAGAGGTTTAAAAAAATAAATGTCATTTAATGTGGACATGTTTGGGCTTTTAACGTTTTCTATAGTTTTGGACCTATTGTCCTAATTTTAGTGTCATAAAAAAAAAGGAAAAAAAGAAGAAAAAAAACGGACGTTTCTATTTATATCATGAATAATAGCTTTTGGGTTATTTGTTATTTTTTCGTTGCATTTTGCTAGCGTGGATATTTTTTAAGTTGAAACCTTGTAGATCGATGTAACGGTGAATTCTCCTCATTCTCTGTCGTAAACGGAGTTATGTCTCCCAAACTTTCTCCACCGTGATCCCAGTATAACTCAGTTGATAACTCAGCCATCCGGTAGTACAGACAGATGGTTGATCATGTGACAGGGAAAAAGAGGCTCCTGTGGAGAGCCTTGGAGAGGCTGACTTCATGCAAATGAAAATTACAATGTTTTTGGGAAAGTTCTTTTAAAACGATAAGAGTTCAACGAAGGGAAATTTAAAAACTTACTGGAAATTCAAAGTCGAGTAGGCCTTTCAACTTGAAAAGTGTATTATATCAAGGATTTGTATAGTATACAAATCCTTGATTTTACAAGTTGAATTCAGTAAAAGATGAATCAATGTTATGCGGAAATTGTTGATAAACTATGACAAAACAGGAACATATATATTAGGTCAAAACAAGAAATGATTAACAGTTGTTTAATTTAGAGCTTGATCGATATTTCAGAAAAAAATCAGAAACATAATTTATATACTGATGACTCTGGAAAATGTAAAATAGAGCCGTTGAAAACTGTGATGACTATGATTTAAACTATATTGAACATACTTTGGGTACAGACGTCCGGCTGAGGTTTAAACAACACCCACATTCATATATTAATTCACGTGAAAATTACTACCCATTCATATATTTCATAGGAAAATCACAACCTATTTATTATGTTCATATATATATTTTCCAGCTATCGTGACATCTTATGAGATCATTCATATTATTAGATAATAGTATCATAACAATTTTTTTTTCAGACATCTTAATAGAAGATGAACATGTATGACCCATTGACATTCAAATTCCTACCCATTGATATATAATACCTCCGTAAAATTGCACCTCATTGATATATTTGACATTCAAAAAAAGTTATTTTTACCAGCGGCACGTCTGTGTATGTACCGATTATCAGGTTGTCTGCATACTGATAATTTACAATAAAAATATGCAGACGACCAGATAATCGATTTATCGAATTGTATTTGCGTATTTTGCATGATAAAAACAAGTGAACCCCCTTTTTATGACGATCAAGCTTTTGAATGGGGACATATGGTTGGAACCCCCCTCTTTTATCCTGGGTTGAAACCCCTTTTTAAAAATCGCTGGATCCGCCCCTGTAGCCTGTGTGATAACACTTGTTTATGGAATTCGAAGTTAGGGAGCTACCATTTGATTTTTAGGGGGGGGGGGTTGGCTAGGATGGAAAATTTTGTCCTGCATTTTTTTTTTTTTAGTTGTAATCTCTGTCCTGCCTTTTAGTTTTTTCACTTTATTCGGTCCTGCCATTTTTTTCATTAATTTATCCTGACTTTTTTTTTACATAAATTGTCATCCTGCCTTTTTTTCTACTCAAAACTCCTGTCCTGCCTTTTTTCAAATTTCCTCCTAGCATCCTAGTCCCTTAGCTATTATACCACAGTCCCCTAAAATACGCACTTAATGAAAACAATTAATCAGAATGGATTTTCTGCAGTCTGTCAAGAAATAAATTTGATGTGATTAATCAGAGTGATCTTTCTGCAGTCTGTCAAAAAATAAATTTGATGTGTATACATATCAGTGCACTTGTTTTTCATGTTAAAAATATTTCTGTAATAAGGCGAACTAGCTTATAAGGTCAAAGAATTTTTCACGGATCTATTGCATGCATATATATACGCAAATGAGATATTAAAAAACCCGTTAGGCCAATATAGGCATAGAGGTTTCAAAAGATAAGATACGATAAGAAAATTTTGATTCGGCATGTATAAAAACTGTACACCACAAGCTCGAGAGAGCTTTTAACCGAATATAAAAACAATAATAACAACATACATTACATTCTCAAAATTTGGCATTTATATATATGAAAGACTTGGTGTAACATGTCTAAGCAAATTTAAAGTATGATAAAAATGTAGCCACTAAGTATTTGGAATAAGCAATAAGAAAAAAGTAAAACATAGGTAAGAATCATAATAAAATTTGATATTTAAAAAAACAAGAAATTGATTTTAAAAATTTAATTTGCACTAAACAATACGAGAAGGAGCATTTTAAAGCATAATACGAAATCTAATATTGAAGATGTGTATGATAATTCAAAACTAATTTAAGCATTTAATAGTTAACAAAGAGACGACAGAAAGCAAAAAATATTATTATATTCAGCGAAGCCAGACTTGTGCTGAGCTGAGGTTTTTGCCTGCCTGAGAGAATATTAATGGGCAAACATATAAAGAATAGAGTCTGAGAATGACATATAAAAATAAAGAATACAGAATTGAAGGACCCTCATATATTGTAGTGAGGTAATGGTGGTGTCTCCAAAAAGCTCTTCTGACAGTACATAGCTAATGCTACTTGTATTTATGTATACCGAACTTCCATGTCTTTACCGAAATAATAATGATAATAATAATAATACCGAGAATCTGGATGGTGGATCTTCATTTCTGTATTCTTTAATCATAGATATAATAGCCATTATCTATGCTTTAATGTTTAGGCAATTTTTCTATATTTCTTATATTTTTGCCCATTATCCATTCTGTGAACCTCATACAGACCATCGTTGCTTTTGTGAAAAATAATAGAACTTTATTCCACAATGTTCTTTTCTTAGACATTTCGGTGATCGTACATACCAGATCAGTTATCTGTCCTTGAACAGTAAAATACCAAAAAGAACTGATTGTCGGCAGCCTTTGTTATTGTCTGTTCAAGTTTTTAATCGTTAAAATAGAAAGAGTTAGTATTATGATATGTCAGAAAAGGGAACTTCATAAAAAAAATCCAAAGGAGATATTTTTACAGCTATCAGATACAAAAGATTATTTATTGTAGTCTCACTACAAACCAGTAAAAGTCTGAAATGGTCTATATCTGTACTCGACTGTACTGATTTTTACTCGACCAGTCTGAATTGGTCTGAATTTTACTCTACATTACTCGACCCCAGTCTTAACCATACTCGACTGTACTGATTTGTACTTGACCCTTATCTTTGCCATTGAAAATAGTCTGAACTATTACTCGACCAGTCTGAAACAGTCTTAACCCATTCTCGACCTATTTTTTTCAGTCTAAACCATACTCGACCAAAGGTCTGAACAATACTCGACCAATCTGTACCATACTTGACCAAATAACCTCTACTTTTTCTAAATTTTAACTGTTAAAATAAATTTCTTTTTAATTGACATGACAACAGCCACAATAAAATAAAGATATATTATAAAAACAGATTTTTACATTCTTACATGATTCTCAGATTTATCAAATAGAGATAGTTAAATCAAATTATCTTATGTAATAATTTAAATATATTAATTTTAAAGTTTTAGAGTTTTGTTAAAAAAAGATTTTCTTTTACCTAAAAACCACACCTATACTGAGGGTAATTAAACCTTATTAAGGTGCTTCTTGTTTGGCATGTTTTTTTTTTTAATTAATTTTCCTAATTCCTAAATAAAAACTACATAGATTTCATGGTTACATACAAAAAATGTACAATAGTTATATAATTATCTTTTTAATGAGGTAACAACAGCCAACAAAATCACTGAAACTGTTTTACCTTATTTTAGAAATATATCTATTATTATAATTTGGGATATATTATATACAATATATATCAAAAAGGGATAAAAATTAAAGAAATTAATAAAATTGTTCTTCTGATTAGTGGTGAAGTATAAAGTAATACCTCCTGCTTGGGGCAAACTCATGAAAAAGATCACACCTGGTCAGAGAGTATTAAATTCTAAATATAAACATTCATTCAAAATTGCAACATCCTGTGAAACTTAAATCACAAGGCCTTTATGAATTCACTAGATAAGTAGTACACGAGTTTAAGAAAAATAGGGCTTCTTTTTACCTGTCAAACATACATGTACTGAGGTAATTAAACCTTATTAAAGTGCTTCTTGCATGCCATGTCTTTAATTTTGACAAAAATTATTTAAATTTAATTGAAATAAATTTTTACTGTAACTTTGGAACACATTTCCTTTTTTAAAAGTTTATCACAGGATTACTATGGAAGTTCTATTATCATAAATTCTTGGTTTAACAAAACAAAGGTGTCATTTTTATACGACCGCAAAAAATTTTTGCGGTCGTATATTGGTATGATGTTGGTGTCGTCGTCGCCGTCCGGCGTCGTCGTCCGAAGACACATTGGTTTTCGCACTCTAACTTTAGTTTAAGTGAATGGATCTCTTTGAAGTTTTACCATAAGGTTCAATACCACAAAAGGAAGGTGGGGATTGATTTTGGGGGTTATGGTACCAACAGTTAAGGAATGAGGGGCCAAAAAGGGGCCAAAAATAAGCATTTTCTAGTTTCCAGACAATAACTGTGGAACGGTGTATGGATCTCTCTGAAATTATACTACAAGTTTCCATACCACAAAGGGATGGTTAGGATTTGCTTTGGGGGGTTGTGGCTCAAACCGTTTAGGAATTAGGGGCAAAAAAAGGGGAAAAACAAGGTTGTCCTGGTTAATGGACAAATACTTTAGTACAAAACATAATTTAAAGCAGTGTAAGGGAGATAAATCAAAAACATCATTGAAATTATCTCCCTTACACTGCTTTTAAATTATGTATAAAGTAATGGTTAATGAACAATTAAGATAATTTAAAACAGTGTAAGGGAGGTAATCCCAATACGTTTTGGTTACTTCCCTTACACTGCTTTTAAATTATGTTTATAGAAATGCATATTTATAAAGGAAGACCAGTAAAAATATCTGCAAATGTTGCATTTTTTTTTTTACAAAAGATTTGACACTATATTTTAAATTCTATTATAAAATAGATTAAGTTAGCACTATGGTAAATTTAAATGGGTGATTATGGTTTCAAACTCCATTGGAAATTTGAATTGAGATTATGACCATATCTTTAGGGAAAGAATTTTTTGGGGGAAAAAGGGGGGGGGGGGTAAAAAGAAATTGTGGGGGGTCAATTTTTTCTCATTTTAGATTTCAGAAATTAAAAAGAATTATTCTTCAAATATTATTTTTTTTTCAAATTTCAAATATTGAAAAATTTCAAGAAGTAATCTTTAATTGCACAGTATGGCGCATTAGATTTGTAAAATCTTTGACCACATTTATTTATTTGTTATGCCGAATCTAACCGTGTATTTAGATTTTTAATTTTGGGTCCAGTTTTCAAATTGGTTTACATTAAGGTCCAAAGGGTCCAAAATTAAACTTTGTTTGATTTTAACAAAAATTGAATATATGGGGTTCTTCGATATGCTGAATCTAAACATGTATTTAGATTTTAGATTTTTGGCCCAGTTTTCAAGTTGGTCTAAATTGGGGTCCAAAATTAAACTATGTTTGATTTCAACAAAAATTTAATATATATGGGGTTCTTTGATATGCTGAATCTAACCATGCATTTTGATTTTTTATTTGTGGACCCGCTATCAAATTGGTTCATATTGAGGTCAAAAGGGTCCAAAATTAAACTTCGTTTGATTTCATCAAAAATTGAATTATTGGGGTTCTTTGATATGCCAAATCTAACCGTGTATTTAGATTTTTAATTTTGGGTCCTGTTTTTTAAAATGGTCTACATTAAGGTCCAAAGGGTCCAAAATTAAACTAAGTTTGATTTTAACAAAAATTGAATTCTTGGGGTTCTTTGATATGCTGAATCTAAACATGTGTTTAGATTTTTGATTATGGGCCCAGTTTTCAAGTTGGTCCAAGTTGGGGTCAACAATTAAACTTTGTTTGATTTCAACAAAAATTGAATATATGGGGTTCTTTGATATGCTGAATCTAAACATGTATTTAGATTTTAGATTTTTGGCCCAGTTTTCAAGTTGGTCCAAATTGGGGTCCAAAATTAAACTTTGTTTGATTTCAACAAAAATTGAATATATGGGGTTCTTTGATATGCTGAATCTATCCATGTATTTAGATTTTTTTTTTGGGAGCCCGCTATCAAATTGGTTCATATTGAGGTCAAAAGGGTCCAAAATTAAACTTTGTTTGATTTCATCAAAAATTGAATTATTGGGGTTCTTTGATATGCCAAATCTAACCGTGTTTTTAGATTTTTATTTTTGGGTCCCGTTTTATAAATTGGTCTACATTAAGGTCCAAAGGGTCCAAAATTAAACTTAGTTTGATTTTAACAAAAATTGAATTCTTGGGGTTCTTTGATATGCTGAATCTAAACATGTGTTTAGATTTTGGATTATGGGCCCAGTTTTCAAGTTGGTCCAAGTTGGGGTCCAAAATTAAACTTTGTTTGATTTCAACAAAAATTGAATATATGGGGTTCTTTGATATGCTGAATCTAAACATGTATTTAGATTTTAGATTTTTGGCCCAGTTTTCAAGTTGGTCCAAATTGGGGTCCAAAATTAAACTTTGTTTGATTTCAACAAAAATTGAATATATGGGGTTCTTTGATATGCTGTGCTGAATCTAACCATGTATTTAGATTTTTTATTTGGGGGCCCGCTATCAAATTGGTTCATATTTAGGTCAAAAGGGTCCAAAATTAAACTTCGTTTGATTTCATTAAAAATTGAATTATTGGGGTTCTTTGATATGCCAAATCTAACCGTGTATTTAGATTTTTAATTTTGGGTCCTGTTTTTTAAAATGGTCTACATTAAGGTCCAAAGGGTCCAAAATTAAACTAAGTTTGATTTTAACAAAAATTGAATTCTTGGGGTTCTTTGATATGCTGAATCTAAACATGTGTTTAGATTTTTGATTATGGGCCCAGTTTTCAAGTTGGTCCAAGTTGGGGTCCAAAATTAAACTTTTTTTTATTTCAACAAAAATTGAATATATGGGGTTCTTTGATATGCTGAATCTAACCATTTATTTAGATTTTTTATTTGTGGGCCCAGCTATCAAATTGGTTCATATTGACGTCAAAAGGGTCCAAAATTAAACTTTGTTTGATTTCATCAAAAATTGAATTATTGGAGTTCTTTGACATTCCAAATCTAACCGTGTATTTAGATTTTTAATTTTGGGTCCCGTTTTTTAAATTGGTCTACATTAAGGTCCAAAGGGTCCAAAATTAAACTTAGTTTGATTTTAACAAAAATTGAATTCTTGGGGTTCTTTGATATGCTGAATCTAAACATGTGTTTAGATTTTTGATTATGGGCCCAGTTTTCAAGTTGGTCCAAGTTGGGGTCCAAAATTATACTTTTTTTTATTTCAACAAAAATTGAATATATGGGGTTCTTTGATATGCTGAATCTAACCATTTATTTAGATTTTTTATTTGTGGGCCCAGCTATCAAATTGGTTCATATTGACGTCAAAAGGGTTCAAAATTAAACTTTGTTTGATTTCATCAAAAATTGAATTATTGGGGTTCTTTGACATTCCAAATCTAACTGTGTATTTAGATTTTTAATTTTGGGTCCCGTTTTTTAAATTGGTCTACATTAAGGTCCAAAGGGTACAAAATTAAACTTAGTTTGATTTTAACAAAAATTGAATTCTTGGGGTACTTTGATATGCTGAATCTAAACATGTGTTTAGATTTTTGATTATGGGCCCAGTTTTCAAGTTGGTCCAAGTTGGGGTCCAAAATTAAACTTTGTTTGATTTCAACAAAAATTGAATATATCATGGTTCTTTGATATGCTGAATCTAACCATGTATTTTGATTTTGGACATTGGACCATAATAGGTAAATTAAAAAAATTCAAGTTCTTAGACCACATTCTTTCTGTGTCAGAAACCTATG